CCGTTGAGGCAGCCCATGCAGGAGGGTCAAGCTTCGCCCCTGGCCACATTGCTGGGACCCAGCCTTTACATGTCCACCTCGTCCTCAGCTTCCTCTCCTTAACCCATGGCATCTCTCCAGTGTTTGCAAAAGTCTAATGTGCCATCAAACCTTGCTGGGGTTCCCTGACCAAGACCCCCACATATGCATGGCCACAGCCTTGGTTCATTGGAAAAACACACTGCTGTTGGCTTTATCCTGGAGGCCAGAGCTAGACCTCAGGTGTGCTGCAGAGTGTCTGCCCTGCTAGAGCTGAAGGGGAATGGTAGCCTTCTGGACAGGAGGACCACCTTAAAAACCCCTCACTTTGGCATTGAAGTCCTCCAGTTGCACCCCTGTATCCCCCAGCTTCCCACGCAACAGGGTGAAGAGAGCTTGGGATAGCCCTAAGGAGGCTGAGATGCCTCATGGACAGAGACTTGAAGGGGACTCCAACCACAGCATGGTCATAATGACAGATCAGCGGCCTATTAAGTCTTAGCTCTGATGTGACCAGTTGGTTCCACTGCCCAGTCTGAGGAGAGCATTGGTCACTCTTGTTTAGTCTCGCTGTGCAGCTGTGGGCAGCTGCTCCTCTCCTGGGCCTCAGCTGCACACTTGAGAAGCGCATACTTGAAGGAGAGATGCTTCCAGAAGCCTGGGACAGTGGTAAGGCCACACAGGGTTGGCTGTTAGCTTTCAGGACCCTATCTCATCCCGGGCCCCCACAGGCCTTTGGGTTTGCCGGAGGGACCATTCTTCATCCATGCCATGATGGCAGTGTGTGGCCCTTCCTTCTGCAAGGTGGGCTAGGGTCCTCTGTGCCTCACCCCGGATGGCAGAGAGCAGAAAGTCATGAGGTAGCCTGATGGTGTCACCTCCACACTCCTTTGCATTTTGACCTGCAGCACCAGACTCCAGTGTGGCTGTTCACTCAGTTGCTTTGGCAGGTGTCCGCGTGCTACAAAGACCTAACCTGCCCTCAAGCAGACACTACAAGGATGTTGCAAACACCCAGACATGCACCCTCTGTGTCTCAGGCCAAAGAGCTCCAGCACAGGAAAAACAGACTGCTTTGTTTTGCTCCTTAATAGATGGCAAAGAGCAGGTGTGGACCGGCCGCCAGGAAAGCACAAGGATCAGGGCTGAGTACCTAACACCCCCATGATGTCTGCTTCAGGTCTGTTCAGCAGCCTCCACCGGCACCGCCCCTGTGACAGTGGGCCAGCACCAGGGTGGGAGGCGTTGGGAGTATTGACGGTATTGGGCGATCGTCACTGTATTTATAGGGTTTGGAGGAGATAAAAATAGAGTGAGGAGGAGCCCGCTGAGTCACAGCAGCATTCGCAGCGTGGTCTCCGCTTCTTCCCTGATGCTGAGCTTTGGCCAGGATGAGCTAGCGCACAGGAAAAGGGGACCTGCTGGCACATCTAGGCAGTGACGTGTTCCCTGGGCACCTGTAACAAGCACCCACCAAGCCCAGAGCTAGATCTCCACAACTACAACTTCTGCTTCTAGATCCTCCAAGACCTGTGTCAGTGGGAAGCTCCTTGAGGTGGTGTTTAGTAGGTCAGCACTCAGTGTGACCAGGGCTTGACTCAGTGTATGATCAGGGCTTGGACTAGACAAGGACAAGGCTTAACTTGATCCTTGAGTAGGAGACGCTGCTACAGCACTGACCCCCATGTGGGATCGCTCCTCGGGTTCTGCTCCGTGTCTTGCGTAGCCTTGAAGCATCCCCTCGACACACTCTCACAGTGTGCGTAGGCCTTCATGTTACCAGGTTGTAGGAAGGCTTGGTGCGCTGCCAAGGAGCTGTGCCGTCATGAGATGTGTCTTAACCTGTCGGGCCTTCCTGGCCATATTCCCACGGAGAGTCTTGCTCTCTTCCTATGCCTGGAACTCCGCTACCCAGTGGATCCAGCTACTGAAGCCACCTCACGGGATGCTCAGAAGCCCCTGCTTCTGGTTCCAATCCTGTCTCCTCCTTGGCCTCAGACCGCTGTCTTCCTAGGGACCACTGATTCCCATCAGGCTGAGGCACCTTCCCAAAATGCTAGTGTTCCTGCCTCTCGGATGAAGTGGGTCCCTCAATGGACAAGATCTGTGATGAAAAAAATCCCCATACTATCCACAGGACAGCTCCACCCCAGGACAGCTGGTGTCCTCAGCCTGTCCCAGGAGCCCCAGACTACAGGGCTGCCCTGGATCCTCAGGATCCTCTCAGGTTGGCAGAGACCTCAGGATCCCAGCACTGGCCTCTCAGTGTCTCCCTTTGCCTTTTCAGCATTCCCCATGAGCCACCAGGAAACTGTGTCCTCAGCACCCACTTTCATAATTAATGAGAAGTCACTATGTTGTTATTTGGGAGCTGGCTGGCAGGGCAGAAAAAGACTTGTTACACTTGCCTCCTGATACGATAGGGGAGCCTTTTCTGTGTTGGTGCCTTTGGCAGTTTCTTCCTGTTGTACCCTAATCTATTCAGGCTGCGAAGAGACCTCACTACCGGGCCAAGCAAGATGTCACCAAGGCAAAGATGCTTGCTGCTTAATAATCTGAACTCGATCCTTGGGACCCATGTAAAGGTTTACAGAGAGAGCTGACCTCATGAGATTATCCTTCAACCTCCACACATCTACCTGGTAGACATGCTCCTCCCTACACACACACACACACAGAGAGAGAGAGAGAGAGACAGACAGACAGACACAGAGAGGGAGGGAGGGAAGGAGAGAACTACTATTTTTGTAACTTTATGTAAGACAATCACCACTTTGAAATAAGAAGAAAAGAGAAAAGCAGGGCCAACATCATAGACAGATGCTTTACCAACAGGGACATTGGTGAGATATTCAGCACCGTCAGTCATTGAGGCCTGTAGAATCCAGCCACAAGCAGAAACCATCTCACACATTTAGAAAGGCTGAAATGAAAACAGCTGAGCTGTAGGCACCCACGCTTACCATGGGAAAGCAAAATGGCCCAGCCACTCTGGATGGCTTGGTGGTTTCTCACCACTGAGTTAGACTGCAATGCCCAGGAATCCCATTCGAGGTACTTCCCTGCATGAAATGGCATCTGTGTTCACAGAAATCCACACAGGGACCTGCACAGTGTCTTCATGTGCAATAGCTTGGGCCTAGGACTGCCAGCTCTATGAGCAGATGGCACAGCATGTCTGTGCGGGGCACCAGTGACAGAGAAACTGACTTCTTTGCATGAACAAGATGGTGGCTTTCAGTGGACTAGGAAGTCATCTCAGAAGGTGGCCCTCTGCACCATTTTGGTTGACAGACAAATCTAGCCCAGGAGAACAAAGGAGTATCTGCCAGGCAGGACAGGGAAAGTGACTGACAGGGAGGGTTGGGGATGACAGAGGTCTTCACTATCCTTTGTTCACCATTATATATAAATATAAAAGCACAAATATAAATTAAATATAAATGTAGAAGTACAAGGAAACCCATGGAGCCTCGTGTTAGGTTTTGAATATGAGGCGTGCCTCAGAAAGGCTCATGTGTTGAAGGTTTGGTCCCCAGACGGCTGTGCTGTTGAGAGCTGCCTGCATCAAAAGGGAGCTAACCTAGCAATAGTTAACCCATCAGAGAACTTGTTATCTAACAACTGTGTCCCAAGTCAGGTCCAGCCACATGCCCTCAGTAGCAAATTAAAAGAGCCAAACTCAAAGTGCAAGGCAGGAGAGGGGAGATTTATTGAATGTGGCCCCATCAGGAAGAGGGACAAAGAGATCCCAGTAACACACCAAGCCCATCTTCTGGGTTCTTAAGTGAGATCCAGGTTTAAACAGAGAACTAAGAGTGCACATCTAAGCAGTCCCGGTCAAGGCGTGGCCCTGCCTACCATTGACCATCCCTGTATGGGCTTCAGTCCCATCCTGTCAGTGATCTGAGATTTTAGAATGGTTAGATCTTTTTCCCGTCTCAGCAAAGAGTCCTGAGGGAATTCCCACTTCTTTGGGGGACCCCTCTTTCAGCAGTCTGCTGGTCAAATTGAGAGACCCAAGCGTCTCTTTCTAACAAGCTGGACATGGGCATGCACACACTAACCCAGCATTTGGGAGACAGAAGCAGAGGCAGGTGCATCTCTATGAGCTCCAGGCCAGCCATGGCTATGTAGAGAGACCTTTCTCAAAACAAACAGAACCAGAGTAGCTTCATTTCTGTCGTTCCAGTCACAAACTCAGCTGAATTGAACATTAGGAGGACCATCAGGAGGTCATGTCTTTGAGGACTATATTTTGTCCCTGACCCCTTCCTATCGGTCTCTGTCTGTCTGCCTCACCTGCTGTCACCCCAGCTGCTGCCACCACCACCACCGCCACCATCACCATCACCACCATACACCACACACAACACACACACCACACACCACCACAATATTCTGCCATGGAAGCAGAAGTCATTGAAGCCTTCTTGCTTTAAGTTATTTTCTAAGGCATTTGGTTACAGCCATAAAAAACCTATAACAAGACCCATAGGGAAATCAAATTGTTTCAACCGCCAGAGCTGATAGCCTCAGACGAGGGAAGCCCCAGAGACTCTGAAGTATTCCTAAGGGTGCTGGGGGAGTTCTTGGGTTCCAACTGTTATGGCACCACAGATGCTGACACCACGTGTTCCCTACCATGTGCTGTCAGCCTCCACCTCGGCACCCTCCCCAGGTTGCCCTGGCTCCTCTATGGCCATGAGATTGGGTTACTTCCCAAGATTTCTGACCTATACACAGGTTGAGGTGAATGTCACCAGGCTTCATGGATGAGGCTGGGAGCCAGCCAGAGGGTTGGGTTGTAGGGCAGCCCCTGACTGGTGTTTGAGCCCAGTACCGGCCCCATCTGTCGTAATGTGTCTCTCCTCTCCTAGGCCGGTTCTCCACACACCAGCTACTCTGACCAATCAGGGCACTGTGGGCGCTCGGGGTCACCGAGGAAGCATGGGGTTGCTGGAGACATTTAGGGTCACTGTAGGAGGTCACAGAGGTCACAGGAAAGGCCAGTGATGATGGGGGGTTCTGGAAACCAAGGCAGGGGTCCCTCAGTCATAGGTCACTGGGGGTGGCTTTTTGTTCAAGTACAGGCTTCTGCCTGTCAGGGGCCATGTGTAGAAGGCTAACTAGGTTGTGCTAAAATCCCTCAGGTGCTACTGTCAGAAACCTGCTAATTAGTTAAATGACACTTCAGCACCACCCTTTATGGCCAGTAAGTGTGAACGGCCCCACTGCTTCCAGTGATCTGGGGCAGCACCCAGGGATCTAGGGCAAAACACGGGGCAGGAGCTGGCAGTATGGGTGGCCACAGACCAGGGTGTGGGAGGAGCTGTTCCTGTCCCTTCCTGTCAGCTTCATGGTCACTTGGCAGGCATCTGGCCATCCTACATGCTTTGTGCCCCCTGCCTGCTGTAGGCCACCGTCCCCCTCTGCACAATCTGCCTTGCACTGCAATTGAAGGGCAGCTACTGATGGATCCGCTAGGCAAGGCTGAGCCCGATGCAGACCTTTTCCCCGTCCAGGTGCTCCCTGCCCGCCAGAGCGTCTGTCCTGACAAGGAATGCCCACAACAGCCCCGGGGAGTCCAAAGGCCCTGAGTGTCCTCTCACAGTGACCCTGCCCCCCAGTGACCTCAACCCCAAGCTTCCTCAGTGACCCTGAGCATCTACTGGGACACTGACCTCCTACAACAACCTCCACCTCAAGCGTCTGCAGCGACCCCAAGCATCCTTGGCAACCCCAAGTGTCCATAGCAACCCCAAGCATCCACAGTGACAGAGCTTCTTCAGTGCTTCTGAGGGTCCATCTCCACAGTGACGGTTACAATCCTCGGCATCTGTGCCACACCCTCATGTCCCTGAGCCCTCGCTGCCCTCTGCTCTCAGCAGACTGGGCTGACAGATGCTTGGGTCACCCCAGAATCTGCCACTCTTAGCAGATACCAGAATGGGGTACCAAGACCCAGCTGCAAACTGAAGCCCTTCATAAGGCCTCTTGTCTGCAGCAAGAACTTTTGTAACTCACTACCTGAAGACCTTCCTGGTCAGGGGTAGAACTTGGGTAAGAAATTTCTAGAATGAATCCATTGCCTCCCACCCTGCTTTGTGGCTGGCCAGTGAAAACAGGAAGTACACAAGACAGCTGGAGCTCCGGGAGGCACAAGACCCATGGTAAGTAAAGGCCATGGGACACTGAGGAAAGTCAAGGTCACTGAAGTCATTGTGCTCCAGGAAGTGCCAGCATGAAGCCATCAAAACACGAGAATGATACAGAACCAGGAGAGCCACCAAGCGACAGTCAGACACTCGTCACCTGGAGCTCGAGGCAGCCTGGACACTCTGTCCTCAGGGCTCATCTTCTCCCTTGGTGGTAAGCCCCCTTAAGCTGGGTCTCTGTCAGAAGCCAAAGACACATGTGCTGAGAGACATGCCTCTCATCAGGTGAGGGACCTGAGGAGGAGAGAGAGCCTTGACATACAGGGGTGACTTTCTACAGAGGAGAAATACCAGGGGGATGGCAGCAGAGGCCTTCATGTGAGACTAGGCTTAGCCAGGCAGATCCTGGGCATGTCTCCAATCCCAGTGGGATCTGGGTGATTGTACAGCCTGAAACAGGACTGAGCCCCTGGCAGGCCCCGGGTCCCAAACCAGACACCTCGTTTATCCCATTTGGTCCAATTTAATATTCTGAGGTAGCAGCTTGCTTGCTCCTACTCTGGAGCTGTGAGGGACACAGTGTAGCCCTTGTAACCCTTAGAGTTATGCTCAGTATGCCTCCATGGCACATAATACATATCAATGTGTGTGACCCATGTGTACTTATATGCATGCCATGTGTTTATACATGTGTGGATGTTTACACATGTGTGTCAAGCACATTCACACACACTGATGTGCACATACACAGTAAGGTGCATGTACACTCGTGAATAGCACTACACAGGTCTGAACACAGTTGTGGATGTGCATGCATGAGCCCACATTTACATGTGGTCCACACACGCAGGGTACATACGAAGTCACGTGACAGCACACCTTTCTTCTTCTCCTCTCCAAATTCATCAGGGACTGACACCCCGCCAGGGCAAGGGCATGAAAGGAACAGGAGCCCAGGCAGATGGAGAGAGACAGGCTGATACGAAGCCAAGGCCCGCAGCAGAGGTCTGGAATCAGCTTTCTCCCACCTCCCTCTCAGGCTCTAGGAAGACCGGAGTTCACTGGGGGTAGGTGAAGGTGAGTGAGGGTGTCCTCAGTTCAGAGTGCTGCCCAGCCCTCACCCCAACCACTTCTGAGGAGTTGCCCTACTCCTGTGTTTGATTCTGACCCAAGACATCCAGAGGCCCTGAGTTGATATGTCAAGAGTGGGCTGAACACAGGCATTCCTGGGACCTTGCAATAGCCCAACTCTCTGGTGCGGTGGTCTGTCCGGATCTTGAATATCTCTGTCTGGCTCTAAAAGAGATCAGATGGGTCCTTCCCAAGCCCAAAGAGGACCTCAGGCCCATGCGAGTCTCTGTGAGAAGACCCCTCTAGTGAAACCCAGAGAACATAATGCTCCAGATTCCCGTGGCAACCCTTCCTCCACGGCCGAGAACTGGAGATGGGGATGGGGATGGGGATGGGTGGATCTGGCCTCACTCCCTGTTCTTTTCTTTGGGGACAGTGGCCTTCCCCACCTTCTAAGGGTTGGAGAGCTGCTGTTCTTCACGCTATCTAAATCTGGGACCCACAGGTCTCTACAACCACAGGCACTAAAGAGGTCAGCCCAGGGGGGCTGAGTTACACAAGCTGAGCCCCAGCTCCTGACCCACATCTCCAGCTTGTCCCCTCCAGCTCCTGACCCACATCTCCAGCCTGTCCCCTCCAGCTTCTGCAGGGAACGCACCCAGGGTGTGATTCTAGGCCGCAGGGAATGTGTGGGCGTGTGAGGGTGTGCCTTTGTACACGGGGGCACACATGCCCTGGCACGCTGTTCTTACAGACTTTTCCCTTCATACCAGGCTCTTGGTGCTCTGTGCAAAACACAGTTATTTCCCCCCCAACATCCTCCTTTGCTCCCCCAAACTCCTATACGACTCCCCCTGCCACCTCTCAACTGAGTCAGCCCACCACATCCCCACCACCCGTAGATTCTTGGGTTCATCCCTAAATGGAACTTCCTGACTGAGAGTGAGGTCTTGAGGGAAGGGCTTCTCAGAGAGTTCTGGGGATCAGCTTGACCTCTGACCTTGAAAGGTTACACTGGGACTGGCTGGGCGGCCTGTGCAGTGGCTCTTCCCTAGGCTGCATGCCTTGGATGTGTGTCTGTGCCTGTCACTGTAGGTTCCTCACTACGGCTGGGCGCGTCCCAAGAGCCCGGCCACCTTCACTTTCCCAATTTCCAGCTCCAGTGCCAACCGGGACCAGGGAACACCAGCACCGAAGTCTTCATTTCTGTTGCCCTCAAGCACCAGAACCAGACCGCTGGCCTTGGCATTGTCTCCCCTCCTCCATGTCTCCCTCTGGGCCTCCATGAGCACCATCAGCCACCATACCCATCCTCAGCCTTGTCCTGGCGTGGGTGTGAGCTGAGCCTCCTGCAGCTGGCCTCAAAGCTCCTGGGGCCTGTGATGACCCTGTCTAGGTGGGGCTTGACCTCCCAGCTCCAGGGCTGCAGGTGGGCAGGTAGTCCCTACCCCAGGCTGTAAAGGCTGTCTCAGCCACAGGAAGCTGCCCCTTGCTAATTCTCTAAATAAACAGTAATGGGAGCCGCTCAGGCTGGCTGGGTTGGGCTTTGTGGACTGTTTATTTTTTTCCTCTTTGCTCTGAATTCCTTTTTTCCCCTCTAAATTGGCATGGTGTGGGGAATTCATAATTCGCCCTCCTCACTCCCATTTCGGCTCTCCTCCGCTGCCTAATTATCTAATTTGTAATATTCCATCTACCCTCCCTTTCATCTGCCTCCAAACACCCCGACCTGTTCAAATAAATATGTATTTTTAATTTCAAGGCGCCTAATTCAACCTGGCAGACAGCAGTCCCCGCTCTCCGACAAGCCCCTCTAGAGTAAGTCGCAGTCCGTCTCCAGGCCCACTCTCCTGCTGCTCTGCAGTGGACACGGGCAGAGAGAAGTCTGAGATCATGGGCCTGGCACACATGATTTCTGGCCTGAGCCCTATGACCCAGATGCTGTGTTATTTCTCTCCTTCCTGTATCCAGGTCTTAGTTTGGGGAGGCAAGAAGTACCTTCCATGAATATACCAAAGCTCTGTGATAGAGTGAACTAGACTTGGACTATTCAGATAATAGAGTGTCCTCCTAACCCCCTGGTTTCCTCAACAGGGTGGACATACTATCCCTGAGCTCACTACTGACAGTCACATCCTCCCTGGAGACCATGTCCTTCCTGCCACAGACAGAAACACATACACACACACACACAGAGAGAGAGAGAGAGAGAGAGAGAGAGAGAGAGAGAGAGAGAGAGAGAGAGAGAGAGAGAGCCCGCACATCAGCATCCTTGGACTTGACATGAGTTCTAATACACAGGCTGGAAAATTGAAACTCTAGACCTGCCACCCAGCCTCTTTAGGGACCAGGAAGCTGAAGCCCGTCCTGTGTCACTTGGTCAAGCCTGACTTTAACCCAAGAGGCCTTCTCTAGGGGAGACCTCAGACTTCACCTGCCACATACCTGAGGTCACCTTACCTCATGGATAATGTTAAGCCCCGACTAGGGGAGGGCTTGCCTTGAAGTGTTTGGTGACTGGTGACTGGCCTTTGAGTTCTGGTGCTCTCCATTTGGCCAGCTCATTTGCACTTGCTTCTTCTGGGTGTATCTGGCCAAGTGAGAGCTACTCTGAAATTCAGAAATGAGGTGTGGGCGCTAGCAGTCATCAGTATCTCCAAGTCCCAAGGGCCTGGGCTGGAGACCATGGGGGCATCCTTCTCTCTGAATGAATAGGGCAACTGTCTCAACCAGCATGCGTCAGTATATCTTACTTCAGGGTGCACCTATGCCAGGCCCTGACCTCCTCTATGCAATCTGTCCTTCACAGCATGAACATTAGGGTTTGCATGCCCAACCCTGCTTCCTGTCCTTCTCCGTTTCTGAGACCAGCAGGAATATCAAATATCACATGAGTATAGACAGATGAAAAGGGCAGCAAGATGCATGTCCACACCCTCTGGTAGGATTGTCTAAAATAGGATACAGCAATTGTCAGATGTGGAGTGATACTCATGTGCCCTCCTGATGGAGTGTCAGCAATCTCCAAGCTCAAGGTGCACAGATCCTTACCGCCAGTACTTTGGCACATCAGAGAGCCCCTGTGTGAACGAGGGTAGATGAGGATGTGGCGCTGTGAGCACCAGGGAGAGAAGCAGATGTGGAACTTGGCGACACAGATCCATCCATCCTCGGTGACAGTGCACTGTGTTTATGGGGGAGCTGGCAAGGGTGGACACGCAAGAATGGCCCTCGGGGACTGAGCTGGGTGAGCGAGCTGGCATGCATTCTCACAGTGGAGTACTATTCCGCCACCAGGATGAATAAGCGCAGAGCCACAGCTTTGCTAGGAGTACATCTTCCTATAAAGCAGACACTGCAAAAGAATGTGTGGAAAGAGTGTGACCTAGACGCCCATGACAATGACTCTCAGGAGCCTGAAGACTCCTCCTGGTGCTAAACAGACTGAGATGCAGCGTAAGGAAGGCGCAAAGGAGTCAAGGAATGTTTCAGAGTCTTAGTCCAGGCAGAAGGAAGAGAGACCTGAGCACCATAAACCCTGAGGCTGGAATGGAAAGTGGGAGATGGGCTTTTCACTAGAGTCGAAATATTCGGGGAACTTTAAAAGAAAAATTTGAACTCAGTGATCCAGAGTTGTGAGAATTTCTTCCCTGGGGACACACAAATGTCTACTCCCTCCTTAGAAGGTTCCAGCAATAAACTGAAGTACAATTGCATCCAAATTTCCCCTCGAGCTTATCAGGGTTCCTTACAGAGTGTGGGTGAGAGGGTACTTGTAGATGCATGAGTGATGCTAAAGCAGCCGCACTGTAAAGTCTTCACCCAGCATGGGTGATGGCTTCCCCATAGCCACATAGATGGAGGCCCTTTTCCATTAACCTCCCCTGGCCTATAAACCCTAAAATCTCTGCCGACTCAGGCCACCTGCTGTTGGGGAAGAATTACATACAAATAGCTCGGAAGAACAACTGGAATTGGAGGTGAGGGTCCAATGGCCCTGCCTTCCCCTATGCCAGCAGTCAGTAAGTCTGGTGGGAACAGAGCCTTGGCAAGTGGGCACATCTCTGCACTCTGGTGAAAACGCTGGCTGTTTCAACTGAAAGACTGCGCTCTGCAACACCAACATACTCTTGAGCCTTGGCAGAGGGGTGTACGCAAGTTACTCTTACGAGGGAGAAGTTTTGGGATCCCAAGGTGTCTTACCACCTAGTAGTGGGAAGTCCGGAAGGACATCTTCCAGGGCTTGGTGCGAATGACTCAGGCAGATGATACCCAGGGATGTCCTTTCTCTTCATCACAGGCCCTTGAAAGGACAGCAGCGTTGTCTCCTCCATGTGCTGCTGAGTCTGCCTGTTCACAGAAGAACTTGGGTACCTCAGTCTTCACAAGACCCTGCTGCATCCAGAGCTGTCCCTCCCTCCCTCTCCCTCTGCCCTCCCTCCCGCCTGCCCACCCCTGTCTCTCCCTGGGAGTCACAGGCTAGGCAGCACCCATTTGGGCCCTTTAGAGATGCAAAGCATTCAAGATACTGAGACATAGTGGGTAAGCAGGACCCTGAAGGGCAGGGATCTGGGAGACCTGTATGATCCAGACCATCATCTCTCCTGCATGCCCATCCATGTGCACATATGAACGTATGTGTGAGCTGCTGTGTGCGCCTTTGCATGCGTGTATACACGGGCTTCCCTCACTCTAGGCTGTGGGAGTTTCAGCTCAGAGTAAGGCAAATACAGGCAGAGGTCCAGAGGCTCTGAGGACCTGTCAAACCCAGCTCACCTGCTTGGGCTCAGTTTTAGTTGAGGACGGAGGGTAGAAGGCAGGCCTAGGCTCTGGGTCATAGCTGTGGAATGGTGGGATATCACTTTAGAGCAATGGAGGAGCCTAAGGGGTGGGGGTGACTAACCCCTGACTGTCTATATCTGTTCTCATCCATGTGCCAACTGCTCTGCAGTTGTTAAGTCAGATGACCTTGGACCCAGATCTGTGCCAAGGACCATGTTAAATGCAGAAGTAAGGACATTCCTGTCCAGCTATGGGTCTGCCAAGGGGCATGTGGGATTAGCACTGAGCAGGGGCCATCAGACTGTAGAAGAATATGCTGAGAGGACACATACAGAATGACAAAACCATTAAGAAAGTGTCTCTGCACACACAGCTAAACACTGAACTGAACTCCTGGAGTCCAGTGACAGAGAGGGAGGACTGATGAGCAAAGGGGTCAAGACTGGACTGGTTTAACCCACAGAGACAGCTGACCTGAACAAGGGGGAGCTCTTGGACTCCAGATTGATGGCTGTGTGGAAAGCATGGGACTGATCCAAACCTCCTGAATGTCGGTGTCAGTGAGGAGGCCTAGGTAATCTATGGAGCCTTGAGTAGTGTTTATTCCTGGAGTACAAATAGACTTTGAGTGCCCATCCCAGAATGAGAGATTCTCTCTCAGCCTGGACTCTTGGGGGAGGGCCTAGGCTCTGCCCTGGATGAAATGACAGTTACTGGAAATCCACCATGGAGGGCCTCACCCTCCCTGGGGATCAGAGTGGAGATTGGATGGGGCATGGGGGGGAAGGGGCTGGGGGGAGGGGCTGAGGGGAGGGCAGGAGGGGAGAAGGAGGGAACAGGGATTGACATGTGAAACAAGCTTGTTTCTAACTGAAATTTTAAAAAAATAGGATTAAGAACAAGAAAGTGTCTCTGTAGGCATATAGCAGAGCATCGGGCTACTGTTTGAGCTCCCTGGGTCATTTAAACCAGAAATGGCCATTGTTTTTTTTTTTAACATTTTCAAAGCCAATGTCATCACCCCCACTACTATCACCAGTACCGCTATTCCCATGACTGCCACCACCATCACGAACAAAACTACCACCTCCACCATCATAAGCACACTATCACCATGGTCACTGCACTGTCACCATGACTGCCACCGTCACCTCTGCCACTGTCCCCACCGTGTTCCTCAGAAAACCGTGGGCAGAAAACTGTGTAGACCCTCTGGGGGTCTGTACGGCCTACCTGGGAGCTTGGTCTAGAGCAAGGAGGCCAGGCTGGTTGACTCTCGGTGCCCTTGGGCACCGCTTTGCAGCTCGACTTCTGAGCTCTCCACCTTTGATGGGAAAGCATGCGTCTGGACCTCTCGGCCTCCCATGCTGTTCTAACAGTGGAATAACCAGGGTTGTCTGAATGTGTTCTGATAACCACTCTGGATTTTCACGGCTCCCGGGGAGGGCTTGCCCCAGCCACACCCTTCCTCGGCCCCTTCCGGAGGTCACACACTTGTGGGTCTTCTTAGGAGACTGTGGTTCCAGGAATCGAACTCAGAAGCCGGAAGATTGATTGATTCTACCTTTGACTGGAATGCAAACAGTATGCAAATTAGCATGCAAATTCTCTGTAGTCCTTTGGAAGATCAGCATGGTCTTCCAGAGCCGGCTTTGTGAGGACTGGCTTGGAGATGTTGTAGGAGGAAGCAAAGGGCTTTGAAACCTTGGTGCTTGGCTCATCAGCTGTCTTCACAGATGTCCAAGC